TCATAATCCAATCAGTCCGTTCTTTAGTTTGCTTAATCTTCTCAGGCTTCTTTCATGTCCTTTAATTCATTTAGGATGCTCATTGTGTGCCTAAGAATGCTCATAAATAAGAAAGAACGGAAATTGGAACATAGAACAGCTTTTCAAAAAATTTCTTAAATAGGGCACTCCGCTTGAGCGCAGCTTTGGTCACTCGAGCAGTCTATAAAACTCTGTAAAAGTACTGGTTGCATGAATTTTATGCTCAAGCAAGATTTATGTCGCTCGACCAATGAGTCTTGCAAAACAGAGTTCGCTCGAGCGCAAGGTTTGCCACTCAAGCTACCGTGCAATTCTTTGTAAAACTTTCGGGAAATTGATTTTTATGCTCGAGCGACACTTTCCTTACTTGAGTGGACAGGCCAAATTCTGGAATTTCTAGAACTGTGTTTGAAGCTCAAAACATGATTCCAACTTGTTTTTCTTGCATGTCAAGTCCTAGATCTTGCCCAAATAGCTTCTAACATGAGAATAAAAGTTAATTTTACAAGAATTGTAGTTCAATTCTCCGTGAATTCTTCATACAAGCTCAAATCATTTCAATTTCATGTTCATAACTTTTAAGTCTTATGCATTCAAGTTCTATGTCTACATGGACTAGGCATGCATGTGGGATATAGCTTCTTTCCTCACTCCAAATGATACTAACAAGGCTTATACGCATGAGATTTCTCAAAATTATGCATTTGGTATCATATTCTCCTTGAATTTGTCAAAATGATATTCAAAACTCTCATGCATGTATGATCTTACATGAATTCTTATTCTATCATCCTCAAAACATGCAATTTAAGCCTCATGATCTCGTTATTCAATGATGCATGTCTCAAATGACTACCATTTGAACTTGTTTAATATGCTATACACTCAAATATGAAGATTCATAGCAATTTGTTACATGCTTGTACATATTGATCTCATTATCATCATTTTCAACTCAAATCTTGTTCTTAACTTCATATCATCTTTCAATTCACTTAGTCATGAATTTAAACCCATGAATTTGAGTTCAATTACTCACCTAGAAGCTTCAATCTTCCAAATTCTAGCTAGTTCTTGAGTTAATTCTCCCAATACTTGAATTTTCTTGCAAAATTCTCAAGGATGCTCTTTTTCTCTCTCTAGAATTGACTCACTCTCTCTCTAGAGTGTGTATTTTTAGATTTTATAAGCACATTTAGCTTCTATTTATACACTTTCCTAATCACACTTAATTAGAACTAATTAATTGTGCTTAATTTAATCAATTTAATCTAATTATTTAGATTTGAATCAACTTTTAATTAAATTTTGCCGTAGGCTCTAAAAATGGCGCTAATCGCAATAACACAGTCAAGTTCGGTTTCTGTAGCCTCTACGGCCTTCAATTTCAAATTATAGTAGAAAAGCAAACATATTTCTCTACGGTGGACCGATATAAGTTCGAAATCACATCTAATCACTTAATTAGCATGCAAATTCACACTAAGCACACAATCACAAGTATAGTTAACAATTAATAGTATATCATAGAACAGGGTTGTCACATTCTTCCCCGCTTTAGGAAGTTTGGTCCCCCAAACTTATGTTACCTTCCGTCAGAAACAAATGTGGGTAGTGTTGTTGCATCTCTACTTCTTTCTCCCACGTGGCATCCTTTCCATAATGTTCCTTCCATTCCACTTTCGGCATTGGAATAGATTTGTTTCTTAGATGTTTTACTTGTCGGTCAATGATCCGTTCTGGCCATTCTCCATACTCCATGTTTTCGTCAAGTGCTATGCGGTGATAATCAATTACGTGGAATGGATCTCGGAGACAGCCCTCAACATTGATACGTGGAATACGTTGTGCATTTGTTCCATTCCTGATGGTAAAGCAACCCTATAAGCAACTGGACCAAGCCTCTCCAGAATTTGAAATGGTCCAATATAGCGGGGCGATAATTTACACTTTTTACCGAATCTTAATTGACCTTTCATTGGATTTACAAGGATAAACACATGATCACCAACCTCGTATTCAAGGGGCTTTCTTCTAACATCTGCATAACTCTTTTGTCGGCTCTGTGCTATGTTAAGCCTTTGTTGAATGACCTTGATTTTATCAGTAGTTGTCTGCACAAGTTTAGGTCCAAGTAAGACCCTATCCCCAGCTTTAGTCTAGCATATTGGAGATCTACATTTTTGGCCATACAAAACTTCATACGGTGCCATGCCAATACTGGACTGAAAACTGTTATTATACGCAAATTCAGCCAATGGTAAGTAAGTCTTCCAACTGCCTTGAAAGTCCACATTCTGAGCATATCTTCTGGAATCTGTATAGTCCGTTCCGATTGTCCATTGGTTTTTGGATGGATTGTTGTACTAAACCTCAACTGTATTCCCATTGCCGCTTGAAGAGTTTTCCAGAATCTAGATACAAATTTCGGATCTCTATCCGACACAATAAACACTGGGACTCCATATAAACAAACAATTTTATCAACATAAATAATGGCTAATCTATATGCATGATACGTGGTTTTTATAGGTAGAAAATGCACAGATTTTGTCAGTCTATCAACTACAATCCAAATAGAATCCATACCTTTAGGTGTCCGAGGTGGACCAACAACAAAGTCCATGGCTAGGTGTTCCCACTTCCATTCTGGAATAAGGAGAGGTTGAAGTAGACCTGTTGGTTTTTGGTGTTCAACTTTAACTTGCTAACATTGAAGACATCTAGACACATATTCTGCAATCTCACGTTTCATATTTGGCCACCAATAACTCTGTTTTAAGTCCTGATACATCTTGTTGTTACTTGGATGCATAGCAAACATTGATTTATGGGCTTCATCAAGAATTCCCCTCTTTAACTCAGGGATATTCGGAACACACAATCTGTCTTGGAATTTCAACACTTCATTTACAACATTATATCTCGATTTCACATTTGCCTCAGATTCATCAACTATCTTCTTAAGGAATTCATCCTCCTTTTGTCTCTGCTTGATCTCATCGATGATTACTGGTTCGGCTAAAATGGTGGCTATCAATCTGCTTTGCTCATGTAACACTACTGTAATCTCAGATTTCTCAAAATCTTGCAGGATTTCCTTCTGTTCAGTAAGCAAGCAAGTTAAGCACCCCATTGACTTTCTCCTCAATGCATCAGCAATGGTATTGGCTTTCCCGGGGTGATACTCAATCTGAAGGTCATAATCTTTTATTAGTTCAAGCCATCTTCTCTACCGCATATTCAATTCTTTCTGAGTAAAGAAGTACTTCAAACTTTGTGATCTGTCTAAACTTCGCATTTCGTCCCATACAAATAATGCCGCAAAATTTTCAAAACAAATGCCACTGGGGCTAGTCCAGGTCATGTGTTAGGTAGTTTTTCTCATGTGGTCTTAATTATTGGGATGCATAAGCAATTACCCGTCCTTCTTGCGTTAATACACAACCCAAACCTTTATAAGATGCATCACTATAAATCACAAAGTTTTCCATACCTATGGGCAATATCAACACTGTTGCAACAGTCAATCTTGTTTTTGGTTCTTGGAAGGAAGATTCTCTTTCATCATTCTATTCAAATGGTTGTCCTTTGCGCGTAAGTTGGGTAAGAGGTACAGTTATTTTTGAAAAATCTTTCACAAATCGCCTATAGTACCCAACTAAGCCTATGAAATTGCGAACTTCTGTCACGTTGGTTGGCATAGGCCAATTCACAATTGCCTCTATCTTCTGTGGGTCTATTGAAATCCCATTTCTGTTGATGACATGCCCTATAAAAACAACCTCATCTAACCAAAATTCACATTTCTTTAATTTAGAAAATAATTTCTTTTCTCTAAGTGTTTGCAAGACGGTTCTGAGAAGTTGTTCATGTTCAAGTTTACTCTTTGAATATATCATAATATTATCAATAAAAACCACAACAAATTCATTAAGATAAGTTTTGAAAATCCGGTTCATAAGGTCCATAAATGTTGCAGGTGCATTAGTCACCCAAACAGCATAACAAGAAATTCGTAGTGACCATACCTCGTTCTAAATGCGGTTTTCTCTACATCTTCTACCTTCACCTTCAACTGGTGGTATCCGGATCTTAAATCAATTTTAGAAAATACTTGTGATCCCTACATCTAATCAAACAAGTCGTCAATACGGGGCAAAGGCTATTTATTATTTATTGTCACATTGTTCAGTTCTCGGTAGTCAATACACAGGCATAAAGTCGCATCTTTCTTTTTCACAAGTAATATCGGTGTACCCCATGGCAAAGTACTTGGTCGGATAAACCCTTTGTCAAGTAGGTCTTGTAATTGTTCTTTTAGTTCTTTCATTTCAACAATAGGCATTATGTAGGGGGTTTTTGAGATAGGTTGGGTGCCTGGGACAACATCAATGTTAAACTCTATTTCTCTGTCAACCAATCCCCTTGGCAATTCATCAGGAAATACATCCGAAAATTCTCTAACAACAGAAATACTATCCATTTCAACATCATCAGATTGTTCAATCAAGATACTACATAAATAACCTTGACACCCTTTCCTAAGCAGTTTACATGCTTTCATTGCTGAGATTAGATAAGGTGTAGGTACTACCCCATTACCCACAAATTCAAATTCAACATGCCCTGGTGGTTTAAACACAACCCGCTTTGTTACACAGTTGATAGTGGCACAATATTGCGACAACCAATCCATAACTAGAATTATATCGAAATACCAGATGTCCAAGGGTAACGAATCCATATACAAAATAGTGTTGCCAATTTGCATATCACAAACACGATACACAGATGTACACAATATAGACTCCCCAAATGGAGCAGATACACATAGCAAATATGGCAATGATTCTAGGGGTCTAGTCAACCTAGATGCAAATATAGTAGACACAAAGGAATGTGTTGATCTAGAATCAATTAACACAAAAGCATCTTGATTGCATATAGATAGTACCTAAGACAACAGCTTCAATATTTCATGTGTCTCCTAAGACAAGTGCAAAGACTCTCCACTGTCTCATTGTGTCTCTGGTAGCAGCAGGCCTTATGGTGTTCCTTGGTTTTGGAATGGATCCAGTTGAACTAGCAGCCAGCTTCCCACTTCTTTGTTGCTCAAGTTGGGTGCAATCCCTTGCCATGTGCCCTATTTCACCACATTTATAACATGCCCCGGAAATACGGTAACAAACCCTACGATGCTTCTTACCACATTGGGTACATGTTGGTGCCGTATTTTTAATGGAGTCCGAAGTGCTTGAGGACCCCGTATTTTGCTTATTTGACAATCTTTTCTTTGAGAAAAAGCCCTGCCTCTTAGCCTTCCAGTCAGCTGGTAGTTTACTTTGATTGGCTATGTTAGTTTCTGACATCAAGGCTTGATCTAGCACTTCAACATAAGTGGGCAATTTCAACACGTTCACCCTTTCGAAAATGTCATTGCAGAGACCACTCTCAAACTTCCTTGTCTTTTTATACTCGGTGTCGACCATGTACGAAGCAAACCTTGCCAATTCGGTGAACTTGGCCTCATACTCAGCTACAGTCATATTGCCTTGCTTTAGCCCCTCAAATTCAGACACCTTTCTATCACTGACACATTGTGAGAAATATTTATCATAGAAGAGTGCAAGAAACTGTGTCCAATCTAAACCCTTGTTGTCATCCCGAATTAGCTTCCACCACCTCCTTGCGTCATCTTCTGATGTAAAGGTGGCCAACTGTACTTTCTGTGTCTCAAGGCATGGGAACACTTCCAACAATTTCTCAATACCAAGGACCCAAGCTTCGGCCTTCAAAGGGTCCACACCCCCGTGGAACAGTGGTGGCTTCATTTTCTTAAATTCTTTAGTGAGAGCAATTGTTCAGTCGTCATTTTGCAAATCTGGTATGGGTTGTACCGGAGGTGGGGGTAGCGGGTGTTGCCACTGTTGTTGCCATGGCTGTTATTGCCTCAGTGTTTCTGCCACGTCGTGTATCATTCTCTCCGTTCGGTCTAATCAAGCAATGGAGGATTCTTCTAGCTCATCAACTCTTATTCTTACCATTATCGAATGAGACTTGCATTATAATTCATACAGAAGATATACACAATATTCATATATAGAAAGAGCATATTCATATGATTAGGCAACAATTATATATCATGAAGTTGCATATTCCAAAGCACTTAGCACATTCTTAATGCATTCAAGCATATAGTCATCATATGAATGCAACTTAGATCCTTTCTAGACACTCTATTGCTCATTGGGACAAGTGCATGAGTTATTTCTCGTGCTCTGATACCACTCTGTCATGACCCATACACGCCCCAACGGATTAGAGTCATAACCGGCCAGTAATCATGAGATTACCTATGGCCTCAGTCAGAAATCAAATCATATTTAATAATAGGGGCCAAATCGCAGAAGCAAAACTTACAAAGATTGTCCAATAAGCTGTGCATACATGGCTCAACCAAAAAATTTCTCATATATGTAATAACTCACACTATACAAACATCTATATTATGTATCACATAAGTCCATGATCATTCAAAAGTCAATGTTAACAAAAACCAAGGTTATACACAAATTTGGTCATACATGACCACAAAAGAACGAAATGAACAAAACAAAACAAAAGTATAGCCTCTTGCATGAGGCGACCTTGGCTGACTCCTCAAAACTCGGTTTCACATTGCTCACTGGGGCTGCGGTTAGACATCCCACTGCTCACCTACATACATATAATTAAAGAGTGAGCTAACGCCCAGTGAATAATACCAAAGTAAAGAAATTCGTGAATGAGACTCATTTAATCACAATCCATAACTACACTTGTTGATCCATAACTACACTTGTTGATCAATGATAAAGCAAAACGAACTTAGGTCCAAGATATATCATATCCAAGCACAAAACGACCTCGGGTCCAATCATAACACAGAACAGCCTTGGGTCCAATCACATTACAGAACGATCTTGGGTTCAATTTATACACAGAGCGAATGACCTTTGGTCCATTATATACAAACGACCATAGGTCCAATTCATATACACATTTGTGCGCACTTTTAGGTCCATGATCATGTTCGCATTCACCTTTGTATTCAAAACAACCATGGGTCTAATCAATTCCTTATTCAAAATGGCCTTCGGCCCAACTTAACAGTTATACAAAATAACCTTCGGCCCATTTAACAGTCATACAAAACGGCCTTAGGCCCAATCCACATCCTCATTGAATCAACCGAACGGCCGTAGGCCCATTTTATATTCATACGTCAATTACTTCACATATTTCATTTCGAATCAAGCGGATAGAATACTCACTTATAATACCAATTCAGAGGTTTAGAAACTTATCACATAGGTAACATTTAGAAAATAATGTATATACAAATGTATCTTTACTAAGATATTAGTCACTGTGTTTCGGTACTTGATTTGTCCTTGCACTTGACCTTACATAATTCATAACAATTGGGTCATAGTACAATCAATCCGTTCCCTAGTTTACTTAATCTTCTCAGGCTTCTTTCATGTCCTTTAATTCATTTAGGATGCTCATTGTGTGCCTAAGAATGCTCATAAATAAAAAAGAACGGAAATTGGAACAGCTTTTCAAAAAAATTCTTAAATAGGGCACTCCGCTCGAACACAGCTTTAGTCACTCGAGCAGTCTGTAAAACTCTGTAAAAGTACTGGTTGCATGAATTTTACGCTCGCTCGAGCGCAAGGTTTGTCGCTCGAGCTTCCGTGCAATTCTTTGTAAAACTTTTGGGAAATTGATTTTTATGCTCGAGCGACACTTTTCTCGCTCAAGCGGACAGGCCTAATTCTGGAGTTTCTAGAACTGTGTTTAAAGCTCAAAACATGATTCCAACTTGTTTTTCTTGCATGTCAAGTCCTATATCTTTGCCAAATAGCTTCTAACATGAGAATAAAAGTTAATTTTACAAGAATTGAAGTTCAATTTGAATTCTTCATACAAGCTCAAATCATTTCAATTTCATGTTCATAACCTTAAGTCTCATGCATTCAAGTTCTATAGCTGCATGGATTGAGCATGCATGTGGGATATAGCTTTTTTCCTTACTTCAAATGATACTATCAAGGTTCAGACTCATGAGATTTCTCAAAATTATGCATTTGGTACTATATTCTCCATGAATTTGTCAAAATGATATTCAAAACTTTCATGCATGTATGATCTTACATGAATTCTTATTCTATCATCCTCAAAACATGCAGTTTAAGCCTCATGATCTCGTTATTCATGGATGAATGTCTCAAATGACTACCATTTCAACTTGTTTGACATGCTATACACTCAAATATGAAGATTCATAGCAATTTGTTACATGCTTGTACATATTGATCTAATTATCATCATTTTCAACTCAAATATTGTTCTTAACTGCATATCATCTTTGAATTCACATAGTCATGAATTTAAACCCATGCATTTGAGTTCAATTACTCACCTAGAAGCTTCAATCTTTCAAATTCTAGCTAGTTTTTTGAGTTAATTTTCCCAATACTTGAATTTTCTTGCAAAATCCTCAAGAATGCCCTCTTCCTGTCTCTAGATTCGGCTCACTCTCTCTCGACAGTGTATATTTTCATATTTTGAGCTTATGTAATGAGCTTAAGCACATTTAGCTTCTATTTATACACTTCCCTAATCACACTTAATTAGAACTAATTAATTATACTTAATTTTATCAATTTATATAGCGATTTCGGTTTTGACCCGACCTTTATTACATTCTTGACACAAGTTTCGTTGTTTAACATTGCTATCTATGTCTTGTTTTCCCTCATTTGTCTTTGAATTTGAGTGTTGGGGTGTCTTGGGTAAGCTTGAAACAGGTTGGTTGAAAGTCATTTAAATGGTTGTTGTCTAGAAATTGGCCTCTTCGCTCGAGCAAGGCTTCTTGCGCTCGAGCGAGCTTTGAGTGTTCCCAATATTTTTTCCAGACTTGCAGAATTTCTGGGAAGGTAAAGTTCTTCGTTCGAGCGAGGCTTCTTGCGCTTGAGCGACGGTGTGCGTCTATAAAACTTTTGTAGGTATGTATTCTATGCTCGAGCGACGCTTCTTGCACTTGAGTGAGGTCACTTATTGTGTCTGGTCGCTCGAGCGACAACTCCTTCGCTCAAGTGAGCCTCGCGTATATCAGTTCGCAGCAGAGCAGTTTTAAATCACTTTTTGATTTTCTTTTTATTCAAAACCCTAAATCAGCTCCTTCTCTCTCTAAAATATCTCTCTCTCTCTCTCTAAATACAGCTAGATTTAGGGATCTCTTAACCCTAGTTCCTTTGTTAAAAAGATAGAGCATCTTGTGGGCTTCCGTTTCATCCGAACAAAGCTTGATTTCGTCATTCTTGAAGTTCCCCATGTTCTCCTTTGGGCTTCTACACTTAAGGTAGGGATATTCTACACTTTGTTATGGTTTTTAACATAGTTATTTGTTGTTATGTATACATGGTGAGATTTGGGGTGTTTGGAGAAAACCTAGGGTTTTGGTTCATGCTTTAGAAAGAGGGGTTTCCATGTGATGTTATGTAATTGGCTATGGGGTTTGGATATGAGGGTATCTTGTGTTAAAATAGTTAATTTTGGTCTTTGGGTCAATATTTGAAAAATGGAGAAATTTGCCCTGATATATGTTGAATCATTATTTTGTATAGATAATGGAATTGAGATAAGAAATGTGAAATTGGGAGGATGTATAAATGAATGGTGTAGTTTGATTTGTTTAATCACTCACCTATGGAAATTTGATAAAATTATATGTTGTAAATATTGTATATCTGTTTAGAAATATCTGTATTGGGCTATCGGCAGTAAACAACTATGATTGTTATAGAAATTGCATGAGGATTAGGAGAATTGAAACTAATCATTTAACTATGTCATTGAATATGATTGTGTGTTGAGACATTAAATATGTGTAATTGAATGTCATTGAATATGACGGTGTCTTTAAATACATTGTATATGTATAATGTTTTGGGAGGAGAAAGGAAATGTACTCCATGTTTTGGGAGGAGATAGGGGAAGGACTCCATTGAAAATTAAGTTGGCCGGAGTATCTAGGGTGAAAGTCCCAAAATCTTATGTCTATATGGATGCCAATCCTGCAGAAGAAATTTTCGTTAAATGGCAAGGTTGAAGTGTCTATATGTTTGTTATGTTGATTGAAAATTATTGAATTGTAGTCTCAGTTGAGTTATTCGGAGAATTATAAACGTAGCCTGTGAATTGAAATAAAATGAACTAGTCTGAAATGAATAAATAGGAATAGATCTAGACCTAAATGTTGATATAATGTAACCATGTGAAGAAGATGTGTTTGGTCATAAGTATTGAATACATATATTTGACACTTATATCTTAGTTAAATCTTATATATTGTGTTAGACTGTTCCTACTGGGTTTTGGCTTACCCTACTTGGGAAATCATTTTCAAGTACAAGAGATATGCTTCCTCCAAGGACGTAGCTTGGAAGGATCTAAGGGCTGAGGGCTCTATTTTTGTCATTTTGTGTTCAAATGTTTATTTGAGCCTGAGGCTTTATATGTATGGAGCTTATGACTTCCTTTTGTTGTAACCAAGTTAATGTTTTGGAAAGATGTAGTAGGGCATTTATTTTGTTGTTATTAACTGACATTACATGCTATAGATTCAGGATGAACATTTATGAATATATGAGGCATGTAATACCCTTTTGTAATACGAACTCTAATGAATAGAAATAACTTAACTTTATTATATTCTTTTCTCTTATGAGATTAGATTATTTGTAATTTTTTTTTTATTGGGCGTGACAATTTAATCTAATTA